GTCAGGGTGAAAAAGTTGTGTTTCTCTGATTGTCTTTCAGGAGATATTCTTAGCAGCCTGTTCCACTGTTAAAAAACTGCACTGTGATCTTGACAAATGTAGAATGTCAGCCTTAATGTATCAGACCTATCAGCTCAATGAAAATAACTCAGAAGTATTGATCACCTAATGATTTTTGGTGTATTCATTAACATCCGCAGGCCGCTCTGCCCGCTCCGGAGCGGCTGCAGGGCTGATGACACGTTAGTGAGCAGCTGATTGTTTATTAGGAAACAGATTAGTTACTGGATTAGTGTGTCAGAATATACTACCTTTCACTACCTGACAAACTTTTAAATTATTATATTCCTCCCCTCCCCCTCCCCGCCGTGTTTTTTTTTTCTAATTTGAAGCTCTAGAATCAATTTCAAAGAGAGCAAAGGACTTTGAACAATGGTGAGGAAAAACAATTTACCTGGGCCAGACTTCTGCCTTTCTGATCTTGGATATTAGAATGTGACAAATGCGTAAGTGAGAAGCTTAGTGCTCTGAGCAAGGCAAAACACATTCAAATACCACTGCGTGGAGATACTCAGAGGAAGGTTGTGCCTAAGTGTCTCACTGATGTTCATGTGCGCAGAACGGTGTGTTGTAATCGTCAAGAAACTCTTCTTATCTACAGGGTGTAGGTAGGAAGCAATCATTGCTGAAAAATCATGACAGGAACCATCTTCTCACTAAGTATGAAAGGAAAAACCATATGGAGATGTGTAGACACCATCTAAATTTAGATCTTTTCCCCAGATATTTCCTCGTAGGCTCATAAAATTAATATCTGTGTGGTCGGGGAGTCACACAAATATAATAAGACAACAAGATATAAAACCACTGTGTGTGTGTGTGTGTGTGTACATGTGCACACATAGGCCAGTACTGGGGCCTGAACTTGAGACCTGGGTGCTGACCCTTAGCTTGTCAAGGCTGGCACTCTACTACTTGAGCTATAGCTCTACATCTGGATTTTTGGTGGTTTATTGGAGATAAGAGTCTCAAGGACTTTCCCGCCTAGGCTGGCTTCAAACCTGGATCCTCAGATTTCAACCTTTTGAATAGCTAGGATCACATAGGAGTCACCAGCTCCTGGCTCCTACTTTCTATATATATATATATAGATATATATATATATAAGAAAAACCTAAGTTATACTCAGCATCTTAAATTTTAGAGAAATCTAAGAAGAAAAAGCAACAGATTCATAGAACTTATGAGAAAAGACTAGGTCAAGTACTTTGGCTCTGGGAGGTAGGGGCTGGAATGAAGCAGAGTCTGCCTTTAGTTAACCCTAAATTACAATCTCAGATACGCCAGGAATGCACGCTTATGAGGAGCCCTGGACTCTGGGGTGAGGCTGAAGAAGGAAAGAGCCAGGAGGAAAGCGACGCTCTTGCCCCAAGGTCTTCTTTGCCGTGTCAGCCCTTGGCCACGGTGCTATGTCACGGCCTTGAAGGAAACAGCACTGGAACACACAAGTGGAAAGGCGTCCAGATATTCCTGCAGAAAACGTGTTCTCCGCTTTCTACAGGGATGAGAGCCTCAAGTAGACCTGATGTCCCTTTTCAGGTAAAGATCTTTTCTTAGATGCTGTGATGACTGAAAGGTACGATGTACTGTGAGTTTACCAAGTGATGCGAAGTCATCCTGCAAGAAGCTCTCTGCATATCTGTAATCCGCCCAAAACACATCTTGAACTGGGCCAAATCGCGCCGGGTTTTGTGCATGTAATGTGTGCAGTGCGTTTTCACTGATTTGTTTTTTTCGATCGTCTTTCTTTTGGTCTAGCTTTTATTCAAATATTGGACATCCTTCAAAATATCCTTTCATTTTTTTATCCCTTTTCCAAAACAAAAACTAGTAGTTTTCCCCCCCATATCTCCTTTATTACAAGAAGGATGAAGAGGGTTTCCTAGAGAGAGTCCTGACCTGCTCACGTGCAGAAGCCCAGCACTGTTCACACCAGTCTTTGCACGCTTGCACACCCGGCAGAGTAGTCTATTTGAAAGCTGAGAGATTCTGTTAGCAATCCGCAGGGAGAGGAGGGGCCCTCACCGTGAGGAATAGATTTTAGCCTGTCAACTCCTCTCCTTCCCTTCCTTCCAGCAACAACGCACTGGGCCACTGCTGGTACATGAAACGCTGCCTTGCTTTTCCTCCTTGCTCTCCATGACTTTCAGTCTCACAGAACAGACCACGAGCCAAGATCTTCAGTACGACCCTGTCTCCAGATTCCCAAGGCACCCCTTCATCTTAGAAAATGTGAGTCTGTAGCTGTCAACAGGTCCGTTTGCTCCCTAGATCTGGGGACGTGAGTTCTTTCCGTGGGACTCCAGCTAATCAGACTGTGAGGAAAAGCCTGGAATGCAGGCTGGCCTCTTACTGCCAACTCTCCAGGCTCCTCTGGATACTTGAGCTGCCTGCAAACTGCACTTCTCTGAAGATTTTAGACCTTGGAGACGCTTTCCCATGATTCCCAGACGGGAGCTGAGGATTCTGCAAAGGCCTTCTAAATGCTTGTGTGTGTGTGTGTGTGTGTGTGTGTGTGTGTGTGTGTGTGAGAGAGAGAGAGAGAGAGAGAGAGAGAGAGAGAGAGAGGAGAGAGAGAATGAGAATCTGGGGACAGAGCCATTTGGGGCCATCTCTTTGGAAGATGCCCCGGGCAGATAGTTGAAGGTTGTGTATCTTTACAAGATATGTCTCCTCTACAACATTGTTTAAGCCAATACCCATTAGTTGAAGTAGTAAAAGTATCTGTTGTGAAGAAATCCCTTTTTTATTGACTAATCTGCGACCAAAGTTTTTCTGAATGTTTGTTTTATAAGCTTGTAAAAGGGTATCTTCATAATATTTACAAATGTCCACGGGCTGGGTATGCATGAGCTATGGTTGGAAGATTCCCACATCCCCTTGGGACACTTCAATCCTGAAAGACCTGGTTGTATACACTAAAGGATCTATCTTTCCATTTCCTAGAAGATGTTTAAATCTCGCACTTTCAAAATAAGCACGCACTCAGCTCTCCCCTGGCAATATATATTTGATAAAAAAATTTTTATTGTGAAAATACCATACAGAGGGGTTACAATTACATGGGCAAGATAATGAGTACATTTCTTATCAAGCATTGTTGCCTCCTCCTTTGTTTCCCCTTCACAGCCCTTCCCATACCCCCCTGCTGTCCCCCCCCACCCAACCCCCCCCCCCCCCACCAAAGTTGATAAAATTTTTTAAAGAACCTAAAATATTATAGCCTGTGGCTATTTGATAAGAGCAGAAGGAACTAGATCACGCACACAGAGGCTAATCCTCGAGGTATCACCTTTTTTTAATCAGTACTGGGGCTTGAACTCTTGCTTGGCTTTTGTTACTCAAAGCTGGTGCTCTATCACCTGAGCCACACCTCCAATTCCAGTTTTTTTCTGGTTGATTAGAGACAAGAGTATCACACTTTTCTGCCCTGTTTGGCTACAAACTTCAATCCACAGATCTCAGCCTCCACAGAAACTAGGACTATACGTGTGAACCACCAGCACCCAGCCTTCTCCTTCATTTTTCATTAGTTTATTTTTTTCCCACAAGAAATCAGGCATGGATTGTCTCTGACATATTTATAAGATGATTTCTTTGTTGCTTTGTGTGTCCCTCCCCCACAGCATAACCCCTGTTTTCACTGTATTTGATGTTGGTATAACTTGTGGAGGGGAAGGGAAAAAACAAATTGTTTAAATAGGGATATAAGTGGACCTATTGCAACAATGAGATGTACAAGATGTTATGTCTAAAAACAAACTTTACAAATTTGGCCCGGGGGGTGGGGGGGTGGAAGAGGAGGGGGGGGGGAAGATGGGAAGGAATGGGAAGGGGAAACAAAGGAGGAGGTAACAATGCTTGATAAGAAATGTACTTGTTACCTTGCCCAGGTAATTGCAACTCCTCTGTATGGTATTTTCACAATAAAAAATTAAATAATAAAATAAAGAAAGAAATAAAAAGAAATCAGGCATGATCACAAAACCTACTGTTGGGAAGGGGGAAATAAAATCACGAAACCCTTCAGATATTAAGCTGATGAATTAAAATTAAGATGGCAACCCTATTGGAAACATGACAAAAACAGGAAGTTAAAGGAAAAAATTGAGTGGAATCAACAAGGTTACACGTAAGTAACACCTTAACATTAATAGAAATCTATTTCCCATTTTGACCCTGAAACCTCTTCAATTAATTACTAAAATCTATTTACACAGCAACAAGATAAAAATCAATGTGAGTCCTGGCACAGTAGCTGTCTGGCTGCCAGCTCTCCAATGTGTGAGACCGGGAGACCCTCAATTGTCCCCTACCGCTGTTTTTCAACAGCCCTCCATCTCAAAGATGTACACAATACGCCATTGTTAGCTTCTGCCTCTAGATCAGGGGGAAGCCATGTCTGTGACCCTGCATGGGCAGGCGTTAGAGAGATGACCAGATCTCCCGGGCAGTGCACTGGAAACAGCTAAGAATGAGGCAAGCCAGCTAGCCCCTCAGGGTGCATGAGAGAAACAAGAGCCTTTGGTGTTCCTGCAGCCTCCTGGATGTGTAGCCTGGCTGGTACATTGTAGGCCCAGTGTTAGACCCTTGTCTCCTTAGCCAGGAGATTTCATGCAGTGAACAAGCAGCACCCAGGCTTACAGACAAAAACTACTGCCGCTTTGAGTGTTAACAGCATCGATGAAAGTATTATGGAAAATGATTCAATGAAGTAACTAATTCTTGGGGGACTGAGCAAAGACGGTGGCTCTTTATGAGTTCCTCCTTCTGCTATCAGACAACTGAGCGGGAGTGGCCCTGGCCAGTGAGCCGCTGCTGCCCTACACCGTCACTGACTCCGGAAGGAATACCGCGTCCCCCTCCCCACCCCACCCCGTCCCCCCAGCAGCGGGTCCAGAGAGAAAGTCAGGGGCCACAAGAGTCTAGAAAGACTAATTAGCTGAGACCTAAGCAATCTCTTCCCACTGCTCCAAGCACTTCCTCTCTTCCTTGACTCTTGTAATTTAAGGCTGGACATCCCATGTACTGCAATTTTCCTTCTCAATTGGAGAAAGCCAATATGAGGAAGAGAGAGATGTAAGAGGATAGAAGGCAAAATTATTTTAAAAAAACCAAAAAACAAAAAACAGTAAAAACTTCTCTGAGACTACCAGCTGGCTCCCTGGTCCCCAAACGTTTTCACATGCTGTTTGAGCTCTCACAGTATTTCTGGCAAACTCCTATCCATCCTTCAAAACATATCTTCAACACATCATCTTCCACCTAGTATTGATTACTCTACTTCTCTGTTAGTCCGGGTAGGAGGAAGTCTCCCTCACCTTTGTCTATCTTGTGCCTAGCAAGGTGTCTAATGTAAAAGTAGATGCTCTGTGAATATCTGCTGAACAAATGAATACACATAATTGAATGAAGGAATGAATGGAAGCACAAAGACATGGAAAGAAAAGTCCCAGGACACGATTCAGACGGTCAGGCTAACTCTTGAAAGACACGCCCCCTTACTTGGCCCATAATTTGAGAACTCATTTTTACCTTTTCCCATATCTCCTGAATCCTTTAAAAAAAAAAATGCGCCATGTGCTTGTGTTTGGCCTTATTTTTGGTTTTCACCATGGTAATGCTACTCCTTATTTTTTTTAATTTTATTTCATTTTTTGTGCCAGTACGGAGGGCTTAAAATTTTTTGCTCAAGGTTAGCACTCTGTCACTTGAGCCATGTCACTTGAGCCTTCAGCCATAGTTCCACTTCTGTGTGTGTGTGTGTGTGTGTGTGTGTGTGTGTGTGTGTTGCTTCTGGTAGTTAATTGGAGATAAACACTGCAGAAGCCTTCTTGCTGAGCTGGTTTCAAAGTGCGATTCTCAGATCTCAGCCTTCTGACTTGTGACAGGCACGTGCCACTGGCACCTGGCTACTATGGCCAGTTTAAAGTCCAAAACACACAGTAGTACAAAGTCACAGACTGGCTATGACAATCAGTTCAAACGCTTCAGCACCTTAAGAAAGAGGAGGATGTAGCTTGGCAGCATCCTGGAGGGCTCAAGTTCCCAAAGAGAGGCTTGTTCACCTGTCCTGAGCCCAGGGCCACCTTTCCTGTGGTTCTAAGAGCTCTGTGTGACTCCTAGATCCTCACGCACTGTTGAGAACATGGAAATTATTCACTCTGCTCGCTGTCCTTTACGGATGAGAAAAACACTCAGAAAGATCATCTCATGCCCAGGATTGCAAAACTTGAGCCAGGACCAGGATGTAAATCTCCTGACTTCGTTTTCCAAATGTCAGGCACTGAGCCAAGAGATCCTTGGCAGCCTGGACTCTGACCCGCCACGGAGCCTTCTCCCAGCCGAGCACCTCTGCCAGCTCCCAGGAGAGGCTGGGACAGGAACCCGCTACTTACTTGAAGGGCTTCTCTCCAGTGTGGGTTCGGATGTGGTTGTTCAGGGTGGTGGCTCCCGCGAAGGCTCGGCCGCAGTAGCCGCACTTGAAAGGCCGGTCACTGGAGTGAGTGACCACGTGATTCCTCAGTTCTGAAGGCTGCGAAAAGGACTGAGAGCAATGGCCACACTGGTAGGGTCTGAAACACACAAACAGAAGCCCGGTCAGTGCTTTCTAGGCTGCTGCACCAGTTGGAAGCGTGAGGTACATTCCGATGACATTTTCTCACGTGTGTGTGGGGGGGGGGGGGCTGGTACTGGGGCTTGAACTCAGGGCTTGGGTGCTGTCCTTTTGCTTTTTCACTCAGGGATGGTGCTTTGACCGTCTGAGCCACAGCTTCACTTCCAGCTTTCTGCTGGTTCATTGGAAACCAGAGTCTCCTGGACTTTTCTGCCCGGGCTAGCTTTGAACTGCAGTCCTCAGATCTCAGCCTCCCCAGGAGCGAGGATTTACTGGTGTGAGCCAGCAGAGCTGGCTAGTTTCTTCCGTAAGAGAGCTTTGGCTGTGCCACGGGAACCCAGTTCAAGGCTGCGGAGACACATCATTTCCCAAATGAACATTCCCTTCCCGTATGAATCACGGCCATGTCAAGAAACTCCTGCTTTCTCGTCTTGATCTCCCACAAGCAAATATCAGTGTATTTTTGTAAGCTTTAAAAGCAACAGGCTTAATTAAGCCAAACGTTACTAGGGAAAAATATGTGTAACCGTCTCTTATGTTTCCGTAACATTTGTAACTTTCCAAAGTGCTTTCAAATCAATTATCTAGTTTAATCTTGCAGTAATCTTCTGGGATAAGGAAGGCCCTTGTTGTTATCTGTCAGTTCAGAAAACTGAGGACAAACTGTCCTCAGAGTTCGTCATAAGCTGTTGATACAGAGGTGGTCTTAGGGTGTCTGGCGAACATGCATACAGGTGGGCAAGTTGCTTGCATGGTTTCATAAATACTGAACTGGGGTCCACTCAAAGCACAGCCACTGATTTAGCCCAGGGAACACAGACTTTGTTGGCAGTAGCTCACATCTATAATCCTAGCCATTCCGGAGGCTAAGATCCAAAAGCCTGAGGTTCAAAACAAGCCTGGGCAGTGAAGTCTGCAGTACTTCATCCCCAATGAATCAGCAAAGAGTCAGACTGGAGGCATGGCTCAAGTAGTAGCGCTCCAGTTGTGAGCAAGAAAGCTGAGTAGAAATACCACACCCAGTACCCAAAATGGAAAGAATAAATAAAGAAATTCTGGCTTCTATCTTCTATACCTCCTCCCTCCAAATATTCACCCATGAAGTCTTTCTCCTGACTGGTGGCCAGAAGAATGATTTACAACAGCCCAGAAATGACAGAATGTCACTGTGCGCGCAGGAAGAAGGCTACATTGCAGGAGCGAATGGAAGGCAGCGTGACAAAGCCTGATAATTAGCAAGATTACCACAGCACATTCTCTGCAACTCATAGTAAGTCGATCAATCTGAGGTTCTCATAAAATAAATTAAAATTAAAAACTTCTCTACAGAAGTTCTCCTGCTCACTTAAGCAGACAGCAGTGAGTGATATAAAACCTGAGGAGTTTTCCCTATCCAAAGCTATTTCGTACATCCCTTGACAGGGCTCTAATTTGTTTAGCAAAAATTTTGTTCAGAGAATGAATAATCTGTCATGGGGGATATTAACAGCATTCACCAAGGCTTGGTTTGTGGCCCCGATGCTGCTGACTGAATTGAGAAAGCTGACTTAATTGCTCCACCGTTAACAAATGCACAAGCACCAATGACTAGCAACCAAAATGAAGGGCTTGGAGACAATGGTGAGCGCGCATGTACAACAATTCAATTAAGTGCAAAATAAAGTGGACCCTCTCATTTGTCAAGTGAAGTGCTTAATTGTGGCTACTTGCCTCACTGAACACAAATACTATTATTTTACTAGGCTTCAGCACACTGAGCACTGATTGTAGAATTTTTTAGCTTGATTAATAGTCCAGCATTAGTCAATAACTCAATACTATACAATTTTAATTACTTACATTTAGAAATCTATCTAACTGCTCTCAAACAAGTTTCAAAGAAATATATAAGAGTCATTGGTGAGGCGTTTATCCATCTTGACAAATTACAAATGCATTTTATTACAATTATGAAATAATGCCTTGAAAGCCCTTAAGATTATATGTAGAGAAAATGTCCTCTTGCTAAATCTGTTCTTGGTAGAAATGTTAACCTTTCAAGATCCCTTAAAAAGTAATTCTCTCAGGGATAAAATTTTAAACACTATTGAAGACTATAAACAAAATAATATATTAATATATATGCTATATCCACTGACAATTGATTTTTCTAATAGTGAAGGGACCATTAACATTTATTAGCCTCTGGTTATCTATTTTTAATAGCTATCACTATAAACAATACGCCACTAAATAAAACCAATTAATCTTCTCTCTTTTTTCTAGCTCTTCTGTCAAAAGTTGGGGTGATTTATTTCCCACAGTCAGAAGTCAATCCATCCTTTTTATGTTAATTGTCACAGTGGTAAAGATTTACACACAGGAAAACAGAAATAATCACCGAGGCCGATGTAGAATTTTCATCAAGTTAACAGCAATGAATGGTGAATAGGATTCCAAAACAACTTTCTACCTAGGACCAGCATAAGGCAAGCAAACCAGTGATCTAGGTGGAACAGTTTTTTTTTAAGTCTTACAGGATTCAGCTTGGCTAAAAAGAAGAGCCTAGAATAAGGGGGGGGGAGGGGAGAGTGGGAGGGAAAAAAGAAAGAGAATAGAGGTGAGTCTACGCCAGCTACTGATTGACGTCAGCTGTTGGATATGGACAAGTCAATCAACTACTCCCCTGACCTCCGTTCCTGTTCTATCTGGAAAGGGGTATAGACTGATTCAAATGTTCTCTCGCATCCCATCATGCCTTTCTCCTGCTTTTGTGCAGGCCAGTGAGCCTGGCCTGAGGATCTACCCAACACATACTTTCAAGACACAGCATCACCAATATGGTCTCCATCTTGGATGGTGTGTTCTAGCCAGCTTCACAGCCGTGGGGTTTTCTACGTGTATGTGTGTGGGCACACACACAATCCACTAGAATATGGAAAGTTTTAATGTATAGGTAAAATGTTGAAAATTTCAAGCAACAAGAAAATCTAGTACTAAAACATGGGAGCAAATCTTACGTTTTTGTTAAGTTCCAAAAGCAACGCTATTTCCCCTCATTCTTAGGTACATTAAAATATAAAGTTCTGATCATTGGGTCATATTCACTTTTGCAGGGCTTGATTTTGTTTCAAGTTGGCAACTTAAGTGAATTCTTGCCTCCATAAAAGTCTCTCTCAGCCTAGAAACTTACAGAAAATTAGCCATCAGAAAGTACTGACATTGTACAATCAGTACACAAAATTCCTCTACCCTGTTTTTCTGCGTTTTCAGAAATTCCTTTAAAAATTAACTAAAAATGATTAAAAAGGTAATTTATAATTGATTGTGTAGCTAGGGTTTATTCTAAGAATATAGAAGTATATTTAAGACTGAACCAAGTCTTCAGCGGGGCTTAGAGAACATTACTTAGGTCTTGGGAAGTTCAGATATCACAACTGTTGGGAGGCAGAGGTCGCAGGAGTTAAGACTATGTGAAAATTCCTACCAGTGCAGCCTGTCGATCTCAAGACACAATGCCTAAGGGACACAGACTTCGTGGCCATTAATCAGATTTTCATGGTGTAATGACCAACGTTTTCCTCTCATCTCAACATCTGGCACCAAAAAAAGAGAGATAAGGCTAGATTCATTAAAGTTTTACGCCCAATCAACCTTAACTCCAAAGTTCTGCCTCCTTTTGATGTGCCATACTAGCAAAACACAGAAGAACTGACCACCCCAGGGCTGAAAGGATGATCTGGCTGCCTTATCTGTCCTCAGGATAGGAGAGATCTGGCTGTCAGGCATGTGTGCCTTTCTTTGTCACTACTCTACATGTGTCCCTTCTGAAGCTGTGAGCGCCTCTGTCAAGGGCATACCGGTAGCTGTGCTTTCCTGTTAGACCACCATACAAGCTCTCAGGATTGACACCCATGGCTGCTGCGTTTAGCTCTACCCCTTCCATGATCTCTCAGCATTGCATTTAGGAGCTTCCTTCCTAACATACTTTTAACTCATAAAGCACAAAAAGCATTTCACTGATCTCAAAGCAAGCACAAGGGACCACATCTCAAACTTGTTTCTACCTGAGACCTCTAGCAATCATCGTCCACTAATGGACTGAATTACCTAGGTATCCAGCCAGGAGCCACACAACACAGTTGAGCTCTTGAAATGTGGTTTGTGCAACCAAGAAACATAAGTACTTTTACTTAATTTCAATTCAATTAAATATAATTAGTCCCTTGTGACTGTTTCCAACACAGAAAGATCAGTCTTCATGAAAAACTAGAAAGTGTTCCACATTCAAGTAAAGAAAAATAAGTGAAAAAAGACAAGGTATGTTTGAATTTAGTTAGCATGTAAATGTTGGTAAATCAGTTTCATGTATTCCCTGGCATTCTCTGTCACTGGAAGCTGCTCTGCCAAGGATTACAGCAGTAAAATGTCCAATTCCTTTGCTCTGAGTCTGAAATTGGTTTGGTGTACACAGAGGAAGGATGAAGCATTTCACAAAATGAAGTGTGGTTTGGTTTAAAATGATTAATCCTTCCTTGATTTTTTTTTTCCCATGGCATGAAAAAATTCCAGGACAAAAATTCTCCCATTGGGATTACGCCCTTTCCTTGTCCCACACTAAGGGACAATGCCCAGGCCCTGAGTTAAAAACCCTACTATCAGAACACATACACACTTACACACACACACACTTACACACACGCACGCACACACTTACACACGCACACACACACGTGCGCGCGCACACTTACACACACACACACTTACACACACACACACAAATCCACTGTAACTGAAGGCTTTGCTTACCCTTGTCTATATGCACTTTAACCATGTAGCTACAAATTGCATCTTTCACTTACTGCCCAACTTTCTGATACAGAGAGAATATTCTAGGTTCCAGAGCTAAAAAAATAAAGCTATTCTGGTACTATATGCTAACAGCAAATTATGTATGTAAAATGAGCAGGTCTGATGTCTGGACATCTCCATCTATTTCCTCCTGCCGTCCACACACAGCTCCTATCAAATTCTCGTCTATCTCCCTTGTTGCTAACTAACATTGTGCTTTGAGTATAAAGGAGACTGATATCACGACCTCATGATTCTTAATTTTAACTTCTAAATGAATCCTGTTGACCTCCTCCCAAGTCTTTCTTTAGCCACATAAAGCAGGGAAGTGAGAAGCAAGAAAGCCATGCCTGGAGCTCTGCTCCTGCGCTGGCTAGATCCCGTTCTCCATCACTTTGGGAAGGCTAGCCACGCCACAGCTGAGGGGCTGAGGACAGCTAGGAAGCTCACACCACCTGGATTTGTGCCAAGTACACTAACTTAGCTTCGATTAAATTACTTTGTGCATAATTTGTACACATAGGCTAATTCCTAAGATTTTTTCTGATAGTTTTTAAAAAATGTAACAAGAATTATAGCACGACTGTTTTCTATAACAAACTTTAGACCTTAGACCACCATCTATGTGACATTCTAAGTGTAAATAGGGTCAGACAAAACAGTCTTTCAGAATCTTCTACTTGACATAAAATACTTTCATTGGTTTTTTTATGACACTCAGCATGAAGTCAAGTCACACTCAAAGCCAAGCGTGAGTGCCATGATTCAGAAACTATCACTTCACTTCACCTTGAGGGTTCAGTTACTGTGACAAAAACACACCTTGGCAAAGAATAGGGCCATACATTTGAACTTGCTTCATTTACAAAGCAGGCTTGTGATTTTGATGTGTATTTTATATTTTTTTTAAAAAACCTATTACAATAAAGCCAGCTCACGCCTGTAATTCTAGCTACACAGGGGGCTGAGATCTGAGGATCACAGTTCAAAGTCCTCCTGTACATACAAATCTGAGAAGCTCTTATTTCCAGCTAACCAGCCCAAAGCTGGAAATGGAGGTGTGGCTCAAGTGGTCAAGCCTTGTATGAGAAAGTTAAGAAGAGCACAAAGCTCTGAGTTCACAGGACATCACTTTCACACTTTGTTATATCACTTATGCAGCCTAAAGGACCATTCACACAGGCACACAAGTCTATTCCTACTTTCACCAAGACACAGCTGCCATAGCAGCCCTGATCTAAATGTTTCAAAATTAAATAGCTGTGGCTATTTCTAGAATGACAACAATAAGAAAACATGTATACCCGCAAATGTGTACAATAACCTTAAAACTATTATTTGGGAGTATTTCCATCCTCTCCTACCATCCTGTCTGTCCTTGCTTGGATTTTCTAGGCCCACCTGAAAGGGAAGAGCTTAATGTAGCTGAGATCATGACTCACACCTGTAATACTAGCTACTCAGGAGGCTGAGATCTGAAGAGTGTGGTTTTTGAAACTAGCCCAGGCAAGAAAGTCCATGAGCCTTTTATCTCCAATTTAACTTCACAACTTGAGTTGTGACTCAAGTGGTAGAGCAGCACCCCTGAGCAAAAACAGCTAAGGGAAAGCACTCAGGCTCTGAGATGTAGGAAGAAAAAAAAAAGCAGACTATATGCCATTAGGCAAAGAGGGTTAATTGGCTTGCCTTAATCAAGATAATTCAGTGGCCAAACTAAGAAAGTAATTCAAGAAATCTGCTTCTGAGTCTCCACTCTTAGTTCTAAAAATTATTTCCTGCTTTTCTATTCAAAGTGCATTTTCAATGCTCTTCTGAGGTATTTTGGTTTTAATCAAGTTTTCACAGGACATGACGAAGAGATAAAACCCCACGATCCTTTCATATTGAATTAATTTGATTTTTGTCTTTGGCGCTCCCAGCTATCCAGACTGTCGAATAAACCAGTTTTGATTCATAAATAATAGTTCCATTATATCTACCATCCCACTTGTCAGAGTACCTGAAATTTTAATTCACTTGTTCAGCTAAATTTCATCCTCAGTTCATGGCCATAAAATTCTTTATTGACAAACTTTCAAACCAACTTTGACTCTGAGGTATCTAGTCAACATTTTTCTTCTGTGTGGATATTAGTTTATTGAATAAGTGGCATCTGTTTTCCTCCACATCACCAGCAGAGTAGGTATTCCCTTCTGACAGCCTCGCAGGATTTATGGGTTTGCATGCTTGGAAGAAAAATAGTACTAAGCAAAAAATTCCAATTCATTACCTCTTAGTACTTAATTAAGTTCATACCCACAGCACACTGGAGATGAACTCTGAAATGACTCTGACAGCCCCTCGCAGCCAGCTATATTATCTTTGGAAGACAGAGAGGATTATAATTGTCCTAACCTCATTTCCCACCTATGATATTCATAAATGTTCTTTCTATTGTTGCTCCTTTGTGTGTGTGTGTGTGTGTGTGTGTGTGTGTGTGTGTGCCAGTACCAGGGTTTGAACTCAAGGCATTGTCCTATTAGCTTTCGCACTCGAGGCTCTCACTCTACCACTTGAGCCATGCTCCACTTTTTTGCTGGTTAACTGGAGTTAAGAATCTCAGACTTCCCTGCTCTGGGCTGGCTTTGAACCATGATCCTCAGATCTCAGCCACCTGGGTAGCCAGGATGACAGGCGTGAGCCACGGGCACCCAGACAGATGTCTGGACAGCGCGTGGAGCCACCAACCTGGTCTGTGTAGCTCTGTCAGCGACTGAGGCACCTGTTCAAGCATGCGGGGGGCGGGGGGGGGGAACCCCAAGGTGCAGCTAAGCGCTTGGAGATTGTCGGGAAGCCAGAAGGAGGTAAGCGGCGGATCTGGCTGAGCCAACCCAGAGATGGGTGAGAGGTGGGGTTACCTGTCCGGGTTCTGCGTGCACACGTGCATCTGGAGGAGGATCCGCTGGGTGAAGGTCTTAAAGCACTGGCCGCACTTCCAGAGATGCCAGTCACTGAACTCCGAGTGCAGCTGACTGGTAGAGGTCGGGCTGGCCAGGACGCGCTGGTTTTTCACGTTGATCTGGTTAAAGCCTGGCTCGATGGGCCCCGCCTTGTCCAGGAGAGAGAAGCTCCGGCTGCAGGGCGCCTGGGGGAAGACCACGGAGCGCTGCTGGGCGGCGGGGGGCAGCTTGCTGCTCTTCCCAAAGGGCTGCAGCGCGTCTTGTCGGCACATGGCTTCCATGACCGGGGAGGGCACGTTTACTAGGAGAACAAGGACAGTGAGCCGTCAGCCTGGCCATGCGGGAGGCAGCAGAAGAACACACAGAGCGTTTGTAAAGCCCTATGAACGGACATCGCAAAGCTTTGCTGGATTTAAAACAAACACAGTGTAATTCTTTTATTCTTTTTTTGGTACAGGGGAAGCACTCCGCCATGGAGCTACATCCCAGTACCTGCATTACGAATTCAGAACTCATCCAACACCACTGGTCAAACAACTACCAGGCCTATTCTTTTTTTTGTTGTTGTTGGTGGTGGTGGTCATGGGGCTTGAACTCTGGGCCTGGGCACTGTCCCTGTGCTTTTCAGCTCAAGGTGAACGCTCTACCACTTGAGCCACAGCGCCACTTCAGGTTTTCTGGTGGTTTATTGGAGATAAGAGTCTCATGGACTTTCCTGCCCCGGCTGGCTTTGAACCACGATCATCAGATCTCAGCCTCCTTGTGTAGCTAGGATGACAGGCGTGAGCCACCAGCACCCTGCTGGATTGTTCTTATATGATCTTTGCCAGCACGGGGCGTCCCAGCATGGTGGATTCAGGGGGACTAGGGGAGGGTGTCCACTCAGAGGGGCTGGTTGAGAGGGTGAAGGAAAGATCAAAGGCTGGTACACAGGAAGGACACAAGTTTCTGGGGACTTTCAAAGGAAGGATTAGAGAAGACAGACCTCAGCGTGCCTTCAAAGTCCAACTAAATACATGCATACATGGCAGCCTAGGAAACAGACCCAGGTTATTCTAAGCAGAAAGGAAACAGAGTTCAGGGAGAAGCACAAGAGGGGAAAACAGATGGGTAGGTAATGGATATAAAATAAGAGTGTAAGGCCAATAGAGACAGTGCTTGTCGAGAAGATGTCAAGAGAGACCCAGGGTGGAATCCTGACTCTGTTTGATTAGCGCGTGACCTCGGATGACTCACTCACTACTGGGACCTGCCTCCCTCCTGGGAAAACAGAGGCCGAAGGCATCCTAAACACCACAGCAGCATGGCTCTGTGGCTGAGATGGCCTAGATTTTCCCTCTGCTCGTTGCCAGCCTTGTGGATGTGGGCAGTCTCAACCTGTAATCTAGTTCTTGGTGAAACACAAAATGGCCACTCTAATAATGACTGAGATCGTGTACAGCTGCATTGGGTCGGGAGCCAGAGCTATGCGGGGCAGCAGTGTGGCGCTCTGCGCTCCTGTTGAGAGGTCTGGGCTTGTGCAAGCGTGCAGCCCAGGCCTGCTGACCACAGCAGCACCACGCCCACCGGGATGGAGGAAGCAGAGACTAGAATCCGGGGAGATGGTTGGCATGGGGGTGGGGGGAGAAGGAACTGGAAACAAGAAACAGTTTTTGGAGGAAAGAAATCTAATTCACATGGCATGTCTTCTTTTTAAAGTTCTTATTACGTTAATACTATTTATGAAGTATTCACTGATCATTCACTGAGATCCTACAAGATACAGGTAAAGCCTTTTTTATTTTTATTATATTTTATTTTTATTTTTTTTGTCAGTTGTGGGGCCTGAACTCTGGGCCTGGGCGCTGTCCCTCAGCTCTTCAGCTCAAGGCTACCACTCTATCACTTGAGCCACAGCAACACTTCCAATTTTCTGGTGGTTTATTGGAGATAAGAGTCTCACAGTCTTTCCTGCCCGGGCTGGCTTTGAACTGTGATCCTCAGATCTCAGCCTCCTAAGTGGCTAGGATTACAGCTATAAGCCACTAGTCCCTGGCTAGGGTAAACCCGGTTTAAAAAGTAATTCATGGCCAGGCACCAATGACTCCTGCCTGTAATTGTATCTACTCTGGAGGCTGAGATTTGAAGGTTGTGGTACCTAGGTAAGAAAGTCCATGAGACTCTTATCTCAAGTTAAGCACCAAAGCTAGAAGTGGAGCTGTGGCTCAAGTGGTAGAGTGCTAGCCTTGAATAAAAGTGCTAAGAGACAGCACCCAGGCTCTGAGGTCAAGCCTTAGTAACAGCCCACACACATACATACACACATATACACATCACCATTTTTCAATGAGTCCTGAGCATCTACATTCTTTCAAATTCACCAAGTGCTTCCAAAGTAAAATCAGGGTTGAGAATCACTGATCTAACTCTACTCTTTCTGTTTAGAAATGACAGGACTAAGCCACACATTTATATGATGGCACACATCTATAATTCTAGAGTTGGGGTGCTGAAGCAGGAGAGCCTAGAGTGCATGGCCTGGACTGCAAAGTGAGACCTTGACAAGGAAAGGAGAGGGAGGGAGGGAGGGAGGGAAGGAAGGAAGGAAGGAAGGAAGGAAGGAAGGAAGGAAGGA